TTTAGCTCCATGTGAGCAGCTCCTAATTTCAGCCACGCTCTAAAATATTCTTTCTGTTAGCAACAGCTTCTTTTTTTGGTGGAACAGCCTCTCAGTTCTTCTCAGGTCATGCAAAATTGTAAAACAGTAACACAATTGAAAATGCAAAATTAGTGATTAATGCCTATGATTAACTTATGATTTGCAGTGGAGATGAGAATAAAAACTGACAAAATGTATATTGGGGCTTGTAGTAAAAGACTGCGTTGTAGAAACTTTAGTTGATCCGTCTACGGTGGACTCTTACCTATTCATGGTTCAGTAGTTTTCTATGAAATGTGATTCCAAATTATTTGGTGAAAATCTGACTATTGACATATTCTTCATAGGGCATACAAAATAAAATTCATCTTGGCAACCAATCTAGTCATTTTCCTTGGTGCTGATTGGCTGTATCCCCATAGATAAGGAACACCGTGGATATTAGCATCTAATACCAGAATGGTTTTCACAGTGCGTATTGATGCATATATTTGGTGATTGTAGATGGTTGTAAACATTTTCAGAGGTAGGATCTTTCAGGTATGTTAGTAATTCCTTGGAGGTCTGTGGTTTGTAACCACCATGAATATCACAACTTCCCTGTAGTGGTATAACACAAAATGTATGCTCTGAGTTTGCTTAGGCTGTTGTTATTTTCATCTCGATTTTTAAAAGCTTTGAAATGGTAGAATTATGTTTGTTTCTTTTTGTGTGTTTGGAAAATGAAGCCAAACTTACAGTGTATTTCATTTTGTATTTAGGTCAAGGTCTCCGCCTCTCTTAAAAGCTCTCTTTTCTGGTGTTTTTCCCAGCTACTTTTTACACAAGCCCTCTTGTAGTTTTAGCAGATGAAGAAGTGTTATTTGAGGAAAACGGTTACTTTGTTGGGCTCAGAGGATATAGTGTCATCCTCAGCATTCCCAGGCTCAGGGAACAGCTTCTGTATCGTTCAGTCCTTATGCTGAGGACACCTGAGAAGTCTGTTCTGGGCAGTGAATGAATCTATGTGGCTACTTGTGCAGCTCGACCAAAATAGCATTCTGAAAAAGCAGACCCTACAGGAATAAGGTTGAGAAATCTCCACCATCTTTGTACATAGTGAAACTCATTACTAGCATAATAGGCAGCAGTAATAGAGGTATAAAATTTTTAGTGAAAATCCATTACCAGTTCCAGCTGCCACAGCTCTAGGTGGCATGGACTGACAATTTCCACAGTGCTGGACGTTCTGTCTCCAAGATTACGCTTCTTGGATACTGATTGTAAAGTGTCCGCTTAGTTGAGCAACCTTCAAACTTAATAATAATGCAGATAGAAGGCTTGATGTCCTTTATATTTACTGATATTTCACAATGGAAGAATTGACACAAGATACTGCTGCTTGTCAGCCAAACACCCCAAAGAAACATTCAATATAGCAGGATAAAATTGTCCCTGTGCTAATAACTCATAGTTGGTTCAGAAAAAGCTTGGTAATTATAATAAAATATTTGCTGCTCTGCAAGCAGCTACTTTGCACTCAAAATGAATTAATTTTTTAATCAGTTAATTCATTTAATGGTATTTGAAATGGCATACAACTAAACAAAACGATGTTGCTGTTTGATCTGTAACAGAAATGTGTGGAAGAGATGGACACTTATTGATTAACTCAACCTTTTGAATCCTGGGTTTGTGTTTTTGTACAAAGTTCATGAAAATATTTTCTTATTCTATATATACACTTGTCACTTATAGATATTTTGAAACTGGAATTAATAAGCTGTTGGTTATAATTCTTTACCGTTTGCTATATGTTAAATCTAAAGTTTAGCAAAGTTCGGCTTAGCCTGAAACATGTCAGGCTATTTATTTTTGAGGACAAAAGTAGCCTTAATATTCAGAGCTATGTCATATCCTTTTTCTATTTTAATAACTACTCTGACAGACCATCGACTGACTTTATCAAATCTATCTGATAGAACTGAAAATGTTATAAATCATACGTTAAATTAAATCTTTCTGTATATTATTTTTCACTTTTGCCTTTATGAACACTCTAGTTTTTCCTCCACTGGGATAATTATAATTTCTTTTAAGTGTTTTAACTGCCAGTAGGCATCTGAAAACCTGCATGCTAAATGCATCTATATGAGATAACATTAAGCCACAAGGATGCCGACATATTGAAACTGCCTGTTTTTGTTGAAATAATTGCTAATTGATTGTTGGAACTGAAATAAAAATTTCTCCTGAAATCGGTTAAACTCTGTCTCATTGTCGCAGCTTTAGGTACTCCATTTACACGATTTATTCTCCGGTGGAGTTAGTGTGTGATTTTGTTGCATTTTGATGTGCATTACTTGAGTGATAGACCTTTTAATGTCCCTCATAAAGCTCTGCATTGTCCTTTTACATCAAGGCTGAAATCTAATAGCAATTTTGTCTGTGACTCAATTTTCCCCATCATGCGTCCTCATTATTTCTGCTTTAATCTGGGAACAGAAATAAGTGGTCTGGGCTTCTCTCACATTGTACATCTTTCCAGCACTCCCCAGGAGCTGGACAGCTTCTGGAAGGTTTCCAGTTAACCATGTGGTACAGGAGACGTTGCAACAGAAGGTGAACCTTAATTGCCGTTATTTTTCCAGGACTCCTCCTGACCTACATTTAATTATTCAGAAACAGCCCATCTTATATTCTGCAAGTAACGCAAAAGCTGGATCTTCTTTTGTATCATAAATGTATGATTTTATCCCCAATATCTGGTTTTTTTATGGTAAGGTTTTTTGTGCTGTGCAAATTGTTAAAAAACAATAATTTGAAGCAGTCAGACAGAAATATTTATCATGTAAGCTTTTTTAAGCAATAGAGGTGAACATGTAATAAGTATGATTGTTAGCATGCCACTCGCCTGTTTTGCTGACTAGCATTTGGATAAAATCAATGTTCAGCATTACACTCCAACTCTTACCTTGCAAAAGTATTACATCCCTGCATCCGTCTACCCATTTTGTCACTATACATAGCCGTTATGTTTTGGGGATTGTATGCGACATCAAATTCTGAATAGACTAAAATAATAATCAAAAAATGTTTACACATAAAAATCTGAAAAGTGTTATTCACATGTTTTTAGTCCCTTTACTTGGATACCCCTCAATAAAATTCAGTGCAACCATTTGCCGTCATGATGTTGAGATGAGGTCTGGAACTACTTTGACTAAAAACAGGTGGGGCTAAATAGGAAAATCCTTAAAGAAAACCTGTTAAATGCTGCAAATACATGAGATTGGGTGGAGGATCACTTCCTAGCAGGACACCAACCAACACCTACAACGAAACACTAAATGAAAAAAAAACTTTCTCTTGAGTGGTTGCGTACCCATAAGCAGTGCAACAAACATAAACTTTGTCACCCTTTTTAAATATGCAGATGTGTCACCTGACTGACACAACTGCACTGACCCAGAAAAAACAGGCAGTTAATAATCTCTTCCACATGTTTGCAGAAAACTTTTTGGACCTAAAAGGCAAAGGAGATGAGGTGAAGGAGCAGAGAGAAAACTTCATCTCATTTGTTCAACCATTAACACCATTATGTATGCAGAGTCCTCTTGTGGAGCGGCCTTTAGATCCCTCAGTACAGAGTTAAACACCTACCTCTCCTTTTCTCTAAATGTTGACCATGTAAACAAAGAAGCAGAGCTACGTCTCTTGGTGGTGATATGATATTTTTAACTGCATTTTATCACTGAATCTACTGTTCCCTTCAATATCATGCCATTAAACTTTATCAAATGTTAATGGTATGTCTGTTTAGGGCTCGTTGCAATATTTCACTTAACTTTAGTAATGGTATGGAGCTACCAACATGTACTTGTACTGACCAATGATTCCTTCTGTAAATAAATGACAACCGAGTCAGACCTCTGTTTACACAACTTGGTGATTCTCAGAGGGCTTAAGGTCTTTTTTTTTTTTATAGAATCATACATTCATTTACATGGTAATTTGTAATAGAAAAAGGTAAACTACATATTGTTCTCAGACATACAGATGTTTTACATTTTGGGTTTTATGGGAGTGAAAGTGTGGGACATTATGGATTTACTTTGCAATTCTGGCTTATACATAAGATGTGTTCTGGCTTTGCTTTGACACTGAATATTGTACAAATTCATCAGTTCAGAATTAGAAGTATGTGTAATATACTAAATGGGAACTCACCATAAATACTTTAAAACCTGAGTTGTTAATAGAAAATCTAAGAGGGCATGTCCTCTGTCTGTGAAAGCTGTTAGTCTGCAGGTTAAAGTTCATAGTTTTATTTTTATTTTTATTTTTTTCAAATTCATTTATCACTAAATTACATCAGTTGTAAGTTGAAAGAAATAATGTGTTTAAGTGTGTACAAAAACATGTTGTTAGGCTGAAAAAAAAAAGAAAACATTTTAGCAAACACTTTGTAGGTATGGGTTTGCTGTGATACTCTGACAGAATGTGTGTTTGACCCAGATGATAATGTACAAATGATCTGACCCGGAACATTGTGCCCGATTACTTCAGTAGTTATGTCAGCAGACTGTCTTGAATGATAATTGCAACGCCTCATATGTCAACAAACCATCTTAAATAATGATAACAAAACGTTATGAATGGAGTGAGGCAGATCTCCAGGATGGGAGCTCTAAGCCTCAACCACAGCCCACCCCAATTTATTTTTTTTAGCTAATTGTTGCAAATTTGTGTCTACTGACGCTCTACTTTTTGGGAAATTGTTTGCGTCTTACCGAATGGAATGAAGCTAAAGTTGGTGTTTCTGATACCAAAGAGATTTTATTTTATTTATTTTATGAAACTATGAATATATTTTAATTTCGTTTTATAATGGTTTTATTTGATAAACTAGTGTACATTTTCAGTCTACAAAACATGATCCAGTATCGCACAATCATGATTCTCTTCTTAACATTTTTATTCTTTTTCTGTGTCCACAGACATCATTGACAAGAGTGAACTAAAGGCATTCTTTGAAAGCAACTGCTCACAGATTTATTTTATCTTCTATGAAAATTTCATTACACTGGAAAGCAGCTTAAAACAAAAAGGTAAGAACCCAGCATGTCAGTTTCCCTGGAGCCTCAGCGCTTTCACTTTGGTGTCTCTGTGCTTCTAACGATCATGTTCTTGCCAAATATATTTCATTTCCACTCTCTCTTTTTTTTTTTTCTTTTGTGTGTTTTCAGGGAACAAATCTCAAAGGGAAGAGCTGGACTCGATCCTCTTTATTTTTGAAGTAAGTCAGTTATCCTCTATTCATGTCCCAGACCCACCTACAACCTACTGTAGTCTACAACCTGTTTTTCAGCTCAGCTCTGGGGTGGGATCATAATTGCAATTGTCTTAGAACTCTGCTAGCTGCCTGTATTCAAGAACCTGAATAGCAAGAACGGATTGTGGAAAATAAAAACAAAAAAAACCTGCTCAGCTCAATCATTACTTCTTTTTAAAACCCCAGAGTCAATGCAAATCTCGGAGGGCACGTCCAAAGTGTGTGTGAGATGATGGATCTGGAGGTTAAAGTCCTTTTACATTTTTTTTTTTTTTTTACCTCACTGCAAAGCCAGCTCAAGTTTCAAGTACAAACAATCAGCTCTCTAGTTTCATTTGCTATGGGCAGGTCTTTAAAGATGGCAGCAAAACAAAATGGGAGGTAGCCTCTCTGTTCCTTTTTGTTCAGTATGTCATTTTCAACATTTTCTGTCAACCTTTCTCTCTGCTTTTCATCAAGAACACCACCCTGACCGTCATTACACAGACACTCATCTGACCTGTAAATAGATCCTGGATTCACTCCTCTTCCATATTTATGGAGTCAATATTGAAAGCAGCTTAACCCTCATTTGTCCCCTTTTAGCCCCCGTCTGTGACAACGTGTGCTTTCACCCGTGCGCTGAGTAGATAAGCTTGCTTTGAGTGGGTGTGTACAGGACAGATACAGAGTTTCTTTGATCCTGAGCTCTGGTACACTACATTAACTTACTCTATCCAAACTGTTATATTAGTCATTTTTCACCGTATGTGATCTTAAATTTGCTATCAGAGGCTGTGTCTTTTATCTGGTTTAACCAGGTGTTTTGTTATGTACTAATGGGACGATGGCAGATGAATTGGAAGATAGTTGTATGGTATGAAAGTGCAGTTCACTGTTGAATATTTGTATGCAGCAAATCCACACATGAATGGCTAATGTTGCCTAAGAATGAATCTGGAGTCTTAATGCAAGGGAATAATTGGAAAGAAATTTGTATCATTAATTTTAATCAAAAGAAGCAGAGAATAAATTATTTCCTCTTTATTAAATCTGGCTTCAAATCCAGTTTAATAATTGTCTGGAATAAAATCCAATTTGTGTTTGCAGGACCGTATGAAGCTTAGTCACACGCTTTAATTCGATTGGACAGGTTAAAAAGAATAACGCATCTCTACTATCTATATTCATTGTACAAATATTTTGGGTCACCAGAAAAAATTAAATATGGTGTCTCAGCAGCATTCAGATGTTTGTTGTGTATTGTAGTTGCATGTTTTCTTTGAGTTTGCTGCATGGGGATTACTTTTCAGCCATGATCAGGCATGTGACCCCTTTTTCTGTGGCTTGCAGAGGGGGGAGTGTGAGCTCCCATGCTGATCCCTGGTACCTTGAGGGGGTACGCTTTTGTCCCTGCCCATAAGCTCTATTGGAGTTCCACAACCCCCATTCGACCAGCAGCCATCGCTGCTTCCTTCGAGTCTGCTGCCTCAGAGATTTCAGCATAAAGCATATGTTAAATGTTGCAACTTGATTGATGTACAACCCTCATCTGGGTTAGAATCCAGAGAGATTTTCAAATAAAAAGATTTTGGAAGCAAAATAATTACATCCATATCCGCATTTATTTAATTTTTATGGTTATTTCACTTCTGTTTTAGATCGGTTGCTGTTTAGGAGCTGTTATAATTTAGCTCAGATATAGAGGCTTCTGTATTTATGGAAAAGCGATGGGCAATTATTGCATTACTTGTCATTAGTGCTGGAAACAAATAATCATAAGAGTTGAGATTTATCATGATAATGGTAAACATTGAATGAGGATGTCAGTAATCACTCAAATCACTTTTGTTGGAATTATGAGTCTTACTTTTTTAATTTGTTCTACATCAACTATTATAAACGTAAAAATATTTCAGTTATAATTACTATTATAACTGAAATACATACTGATAATGTATTTAATGTATCTGGTCTGCCTAAGTAGACTATGTGAGAATTACTTAAGTTAGATTTCTAGGTAATATTTCATTTTCACATTTATAATGGTGTTTGTGAAAGAGGTAGTGATTTTTCTTTGGGGGGGAGCGTTGGGGGGGTTCAAAATGACTATCTTAGGAAGGTGACAATATTTCAAGTGCAGTATGTTCACACATTGCATGCTACTGCGTTTATGCTCACAGTTGACATGGATTCTTAGTTGGTGTAATGTAAATAAAGGCCATGTGGTTTGAATTACAGAAAATCCTGCTTAATACAATTACAACTGATACAATTTGCCTTAATTCACAAATAGACAAAATAAAATCAAAACTCTGCATGAGTGTTTTGATTGCCTAAGTCTATGTGAGAACTACAAACACCAAGGACGAATGCCCTGATGAAGTTCAGAGCCTTGACATGCAATGTTGATGGCTATATCAGGCTTTTGTTGCTGACCTGAGTGACTTCCATAAATGTTGAGTATTTGAAATACACTTTTTATGCCTGGATCCTAATATTTATACTTGTGTTTTATATAGTTTTTTGAAATTATACTTACGTTATGTCAAAGTATAATTCTCAGAGTGATTTAATTCATTTTTATCCTTGCTAAACATTTCTCTATTGAACTTACAATATGCGGTCCTCTAGACTGAAGAACATTTTATTACCCAGCTTATTTTTATAAGTGAAAAGGAGAGGTATTGGCAAATCCTTTTATGACAGACACTGAGTAAAGCTGTAAATGTAAGACCAGAGTCTGTTTTATAAGGCAGTTTTTGCTGTCACAAGACCAGGGTGAGTTTCTCAGCCCTTCAGAGACTCCTGACTTGTTTATGCTCCCACATGACTCTTCACCGCCAGAGAGCATTTTTTTATCTTGCTGCCAGAGAGGTTGTGGGACCGGTTAAGGGACAGCCTTGGAACCAGCAACATTCAGAAGGAAGTCTGTGCCAGGACCCTTTTCTCTCCAGGATATGGCCTTGCTGTGACCTCTTGTCTATCAACCGGACCTGAATCAGCATTCCAAATTCCCTCTACTGTCCTCTCTTCCAATCTCCCTTTCCACATTTAAAGGATATTTTACTGGTATTCGCCTTTTTTGTTTGTGGGAGAAGCAAAAGAATTGTGGATAACAGATATAATTAAAGACTGCTGAACAAATATCACAGGGCAGATGGTGAGATAGACAGGTCACCGATCTACAACACGCTGTCATCACTTCTGATGACAGTTTGAAAATGCTGTCGGGTAAACCTGAGTGCCCACAACGAAACCACATGTTCACAGGGAAAACATGCAGACAGACACCAGACTGGGAATCAAACCCAGGACCTTCTTACTGCAGAATTTCCATCTATTTAATCCAAATAAACCCCCAACACAAGTCGTTGTTGTTGGTCCCAAAAATGCGAGGTTATTGGGGTTTGGAACCCTAATAAATTTTCATAGCCAAATATCTGGGAGCTTCAGTTTATTCAAAGACTCATGTCCAATACTATGAAAATGGATAATACCTTAAATCACTGCACCAGCTCTCCGCTTGTAAAAAGTTAGAATTTAAAATCTTATTGTTTCCATGACTTTCTGTGTAGTGCTTTGTGATATTTTTTTATCTGTGAAAAAGACTATAAACATAATATTTATTTATCTAGAACGAATCATTTAGAACTTTCTGTTTTCTCACAGTTCTCAGGATCAGAACTAATCAAAGGAAAGCAGTTTTCCTTTTTTCCTCTCCTACTTACCTTTTTCAAAAACTGAAATGTGAAGAAACTGGTGGATCCCTCAAATCAGGACTGATAATTTCATGTATGCGTCAAATTTCATCAGTTAATTTGTATCATGTCTAAGCTATTTGTTTTAAACCTGTATTTCTTGTTTAGAATGTGATTTTATTACCTCTCTCCTCTTTTCACGTGAAGCATTTTAAATTAGTACTTTGCATATGAATTGTGCAATACAGACACACTTGCCTTGTCTAATTAGAGTAATTGCAGGCTGCTGCTGCCACCCACTGGCCTTTGAGGGGACTGAAGCCCACCATGTAATTCTGGTCATTCTATTGGATATTTTTGCTTTATGTTAATGTTAATAGTCTGATTTTGACATTTCTTTTTCAAATTTATTTAGGATGTTTTTTAGTTTAGCTACCAATGCTTTGTTTAAAAGTAAAATAGCATAAGAAGTAAACCATTTGACTCAGCACATGTATTTAGTGGCATTCTTAAAGCTTTAAGTTGTTACCATGCTCCTCATAAGTTTGCCACATTTAATGTGCAGTGCTGTGTGTGTAGTTTTTCAGTTTTTTATATTTTTTTATTAGTTTCATCTTTGGATGTTGTGATCCTCTCCATGTCGTCAAAAATCCTTAACACTGTGCAAATGACATATGTTCCTCTGAGAACAATATACGTCTGTTGCTTCCCTTCGAAAAGCCCTCATAAACTACCTATATTCACTGTCATGTTCTGGCTCTGCCACTGGAAACCTAAGTGCGGATCATGTAAATGCGTTAAGGCAGCGGTAGTACCACAATAATGCCTCTATCTTTATGCTGGAGTATGGCTGCAGATTACAGTAACTCCTCCAACCTCTAGCCCTGCAGACTCTGTATTCGCCTCATATTGCCCACTAAATTCATCACGTTGGTGCTTCTGTTCACTCACTGCAGGGAATTCTTCTGCGTTAGCTATCCATCTCTTTGTTGATGCTCTCAGACAGGAAAGACAATGCTATTGTGTCTGTACACGTGCACACTCACACTTAGGGAAGGGCTTAAGTAGGCTACCATGCTGTGCTGCAGCCTGGCATAATGTCTCTGCTGACCCAGGGAGAAGTACAACTCCAGTACAGGGATGTAAGAATCCCACATGGGATCAATAATAAGGTGCAGCTTCCCATCTGGACACGGCATATCATCGTGTCTGTGGAATCGGATCAGAAAGAAGTTAAACAGAACAGATTGTCTTCATGTCTTCCCTTAAAGCGATACATGCTTC